TTCAACTTGACTAACACAAGCAAATGTGGGGCCACAAATATCCCCAATCTGCCGGGGACTTGTGTTGATGTTACACACAAGACGTTTAATGGCTAGCTTGTCCGTTGTCAACGAGGGCGATGGAGACGCCACTGATCCGCCATAACATGACTGAGTTCTGTCTAGAAGAAACATTTGCGCAGGGGAAGAGGTTTAGTTTTCTCGAAGCATACGGAAATAACCGAGGCCTTGCGAATGATCACTTTTGAAACAACGTCGCTGATTGCACAACTAAATCTGATTGTCTCCAATCACGAGCCTTGAACGCTCACACCACGAAAGGGCCGTATTAGAACAGAGGTTACGTAGGAAGATATGACAGGAGTTACCTCTGTGGGAAGAGAATGTAACATGTTGGGAGTTCTTGGTCTCACGATCCCGTTTCGGTTGTTTTCGGTCATACTGATGTGTACTCGGTTTTGCCAAATGTGCCCACATTTAGGTATTTAGGACGGCCCACTTGTTATTAGGGCTCTGACGGGTACTCGAGTACATGGCAATGGGTCGTGTACGGCAGGACTCGAGTCCAAATTCCAGGACTCGAGTACCCGACAAAGGGAGATAACTCTAAACTGAACGCGACAACGTGTGCAGTGATGGATCAGAAAAGGTCGAACGTATGGGCCCCATTTTAATCTTGACACTTCAAAACAGAAAACCAAGTGTCGCCTTTGGGGCATTATGCTGAGTTATGCAGGGAGCTCAACAAGCTCATTGAGAAAACATCTTAACATGAAAACACAAGTCCGTCAGTGTGGACGATTCTTCCCAAAATCCAGTCAAAAAGCGAGCCACGCTGACGCAGGGATATTTGGGGGGTTACAACCGAAAAAGCTTGACTTAAAAACATACGATACACTCACACGCAAGGCCATGATGATGTGCGTTAGAGACCTCAGACTTTTTTTTTAATCACTCACTGATTCCCAGTTACATACACCAAGCAGCAAAAGAAACGTCAGTTTGGAATTGTCCTTCGTAGAAACGGATAACTGTAAACTCATTTAATGTTTTGATTGTTTATTTTTGACAACATCTCCAACGTTACCTGGGCAAAGACATTCCTTCCCAAACTCAGAATGGAACCCAGGAAATGGTCTCAAAAACGCAACCTGATATCGGAGATGGTACGGTGTTCTCCATGTTTTTCATGCAACTCATGCTGTACGTGCTGTTCACAAGGACCAGCCCTATAAAATGCGCCCCCAAAACCTGGTTGAAACATTCACATTACAACGTCAGGAGGATGCCGCGACTCACGACAGCTCAGAGGAACCAGGCGCTAGGAAGACTTGAAACTGGTCATACTGCACAAGCCGTTGCCAATCACTTCCTGGTCAACGTTCGGACCATCTCCAGGCTGCAGCAACGTTTCCGGGCCACCAACACCACAAATGATCGTCCCCGTACTGGCAGACCAAGGCTGACCACAAGGCGACAACCGCCATGTTGTGCGACAGCATGTACAGAATCCCTTCATGCAGGCATCCGAAACATCACGTCAGACAGTGGGAACACATGGAAGAACAATCAGTACTGATACAGTACGGCGACGTCGTAACAGCGGGAACCTGTATTGCCGTAGACCTTACCGTGGAGCTATCCTCACCCCTCGTCATCGGCGTGAACGTCTACAGTTTGTCCTACAACATCAAAACTGGCGATACAGGCAATGGAGTACTGTTCTGTTCACAGATGAGAGTCGGTACTGCGTATCAACTGCAGATGGCAGAACAAGAATATGGCGACGACGTTGCCAGCGTTACTCGGACCAATGTGTGTGAAAGACTCATGGGGAGGTGTAAACATCATGGTATGGGGTGGAATAGTCCTGAACCAGAGGTCCTGTGGTGTTCCAGAACCTTGGTCGAGGGAGAGGAGGCGGCATCAAAACAGCGGTGAGCTACATCGACCAAGCTATACCACATTTCGAACGTCTCCGGAACAACATTTTCCAGCATGATAACGCCCGGGCCCATACTGCCAGCGCTACATGGGACTGCCTACAGCAGAACGGTGTCAACGTTTTGCAGTGGCCAGCCCTTAGTCCTGATTTAAACCCAATTGAACATCTTTGGGATGAAATTCAGAGGAGACTGAATAATGTCATACCAAGGCCGAACACAGCCGATTTGTTGCGCCAGGCCTTTCTCAGAGTGTGGTTCCAAGTACCAATGGCCATCATCAATCGATTGGTGCACTCCATGCATAGACGCTGTACTGTAGTTATTGCCGCTCGTGGTGGCCACACTAGATACTGAAGTCAAAGGTCTGAATGGACTACAAACGTTCACGTAATGTCTTGAAATTCTTCTGAGTTATTCATTGATGTGTCAAGATATTGTACACAAACATGTTTTTGATCCGCTTATGTCAAATTCTGTAATGATTTTATTACAGTGCCTATCTAATTTTGAATTCGTACTGACGTTTGTTTTGCTGCTGAGCATAGTAAAGACCCTCCATGATTACCCTATGAAGTAATATGCCGACACCAAAACTCAGCTTCAAGATATTCTATGGCAGTAACCTGGCGTATCTTTGACAACAGATATCTGGACCAGCTGTGCCACCCACGGTTTAATACATCACCGTCACAGGGCATTACATCACAGACGAGTGGGATCTAAAATCATGCATTCTTACCATTAGACGCGTGGATGATCGTCAATGATGCACTTTGTTACAATACGCAAGTTTTGAAAAAGAAATTCACATTTGATATTGGTTAAACGAAATGAGCTTTAATAAATCTTCTGATTTTGACAATGGCTTGTTTTTTCTGAATTTTGTTCTCTGCATTGTGGGTTGAACCTCATTGTTACCCCAGTCTCAAAGCTTTTCAAACCCTCGATTTTTGTGTATTCGTAACCACGTGTTGCGACACGTGACGCTATACCTCACATGAACCGGTTTCCGCTGTGGGCTGTTTGCGCCAGTGCTCAGTTGAGTAATGTGGCCCTGCATTGACCGATGCTAGTCAAATCATGAGTTTAGGTTTGTGTTTCGTCAAACTGAAAGGAAAGATTTCGTGTAAGTTTTCAATGAAATACAGACGCTGCATTCTTGCGTGAAATTCCATTGAAAACTACGTAAAACAAACACATAGCTCTCACTAAAATTTAAACTATAAGTTTCGGGTACTCGAGTCCGGGTCGGGTTTTATCCCCCGGGTACTCGAGTCCGATTTTTGCTACCCGTCAGAGCCCTACTTGTGATTAAGGAATTTGGGGCCAGACAAGAGAGAGAAAGATGCCTGAATTCATTGGCGCTATGTGTACGCAGTGCTTGAAACCCTGTGTTTGGCTTTACCGTTATAGAAATGTTGCAGATCACCATCAGGGTGTACAAGAACATTTGCTACTGAGGATTTCAGGACATTAATGTACTTATGCCCTCTCAACATCCAGGACACAAAAACAATGGCAGATACACTATCATGCGGGCAGTCAAACTGTGTCCAGCAGGGCATAGAATCGATACCAGACATTTGGATCAGCTACCAACCAGGATGCGGATGGTCGACAGCGTTCCACCACATTTTCGAAAGACGATTTCTCCTGATTGCAGCAAGACGTCATTGTGCTCAGAGATGACATCCAAAACGCCAGTGTCGTTAGCTTTTCTGTTCTGACGGTGCGTAAACGTCGTCGTGAGGTTGTTCTCGAGACCCGATATCACAGGCGGGCAACTTTGGATTGTATTGAACACTTATGTCAAGTGGGCAGTCAAAGACTAGCCACAGATACCAGGTCTGACAGTCACAGATCGTCGTGAACAAGTGTGGGATTTCAGGATTTTAAAATAGCCGAACATGACCACTGTGGATGAGGCTATTTGGTAAGATGTCTTTCAGTGGCATTTAGAAGTTGTACATTGATGTCCAAGATATTTTTATGGATTTATGGATTTTATGAAATTAAAAAGAAGTTTAATCCATAAAAAATATCTTGGACATATTTGGTGTGAGATCAGTAGCGCTGGAAGAACGGATCTCCGTGTGCTCCAGTGGGACACGATTACAGCTGGGTACAGAGGGTGGGTGTGTTGGCGTGGGGTATGGGGTGTGGGGTGCATTCTGGATGTGTCTGAGAGACGGAATGCTGGTGCACTGAGTCACTAGACTTCATCCTCCTGAAGGACGACGAAGGACCTTATCGTGTCAGAGTCGTTGAAGCCAACTAAAGCAAAAGACAATTGTCCGCATGGAGTGTCCAGCGCGGTCTCCCGCCCTCCGCCCTATTGAACACAGTTAGATCTCCCTCTCACAGGATATATTACGGGAACTGGGAAGCAATGATCACACTGCAGAGCGGAACAATCTTCCCTAAGCAACAATACAGGAACCTATTGGGAGCATGAGACCCAGCTCAAGGCTGTGATGTGATCGGCATATAGACGCTGCGGAGAGTTGTATGCGGGGCAATGATTTTGTTTTCGTGATTACTTGACGTTCCAGTTTTGGTTAGACACACTCAATGTGACCACCTGTGAAGATCCGGGTTAGAAATAGTCTTCAGCAACCCATGCTTATCGTAAGAGGTGACTAACGGGATCGGATGGTCAGACTCGCTGACTTGGTTGACACACGTCATCGTATCCGAGTTGCGTAGATCGATGCTGATCACTGGATTGTCTGGTCCAGACTCGATTATTTACATGCCGCTGCCTTATAGCTGGAATATTGCTGAGTGCGGCGTTAAACAACAAACCAACTGAATGTGACGGGTGATTTGACTGTGATATGCTACAGCTATGCGATATACCACACTATGCAGCACAGTACTAACTTATCTGCAGTATTAAGCGTCTACTGTATCCATACACAGCACACAAGTGTACCTATATTTATCAATGCATATGCAGCTCATGGACAACCGACCAAACTTGTATGCTGTGAATACAGCGGTAACATATCAAGTACAGGTAAACATCGGGTAGAGAGGGGAGGGGAGGAGGAGAGACGCGGCCCTATGTAGGTCATCTGGGAGGGACTACTGTGGGCTACATATAAGTTAACGCTACTGAGTGGTGACAGACACTTCAACCAAACCCTTGAACGCTGCACCTGCACAGATCAGTTTCAGAATCAAGGTAAGCCTTAACTACTAATGCAATATTGATCAGTTTCCTTGACATCTTCAAATGTTAACGCAATATGTAATATAACTAATGAAGTGTTGAAGGACAGACATATAGACAGATATTTGATTCGTCAATAACTTTAATTATAGTTTAATCGTTTATTAGTAAGTGAGCTGGGGTTTACGCCGTTTTTAGCAAATTACAGCGGGTGACACCAGAAATGGGCTTCACGCAGTGTAGAATCGAACCCGGGTCTTCAGCGTGACGAGCGAACGTTTTAACCACTTTACCCCAAGCCCCTGTGATATATTTACATAATATTATACACATAATGTATGAGTTACAGTTTGAGTACAACTGAATGCAATATCAGTGGAGAGGGTTGTACTCGTCAACACGAAATAGTATCTCCTATATGATTTGTGTACCTATGGTCGCAAGTCTGCGTCTTTGATAGGTGGTATCACCAATGGTATGCAAATGTGTATTTACAACTGCAGGTTTGAGAGCGGGGCCTCGTTGATGTGAACGCCACGTCCTCAGTAAAATGTCCCTTTCAATGAATCGTATTACCTATCTAAAAATACACGTTCTCTTCAAGATCTTCCAGAATGTGGGATGCCCGACAAACGAGGGTTCATAGCATGTTTATTTTCATTTCATACTGAAATGATTTTATCGTATTTTTATTATTCATTAAGATTTTAAACGAGCGCCGAGCGCAAAAGTTGTAGTCACAATTGCACATGGGATTATGCATTTCTTGTGATTAAGGAAATGGTTTTGTCACATATATTTGCTCATGAATTTCACAATAATTATTATCACGGTTAGAGCGGCAAGGAAACTATCGCATGCACTACCGCCCGTGTACGTAGAGTTTCGAGCGTTTAGCCTAGACTTGGCGGAGCACAGCGCAATTTAGTAAGGTATATGAATGTACCGACATCTGTAAATAATTAAATTCCTTTATAATATATTTCTTACGTTGATCAAACTCGTCATGACTGCTGGTGGGTAAGAACAAAAGAAGCAGGAAATGGTTATTCGAAGGTGATGTAGTTCCCAATGGGATCCTGGTTGTGTTCTGGGCTTTTAGTTTGCCGTGTTAAGGTGACTGTCTTCAACCAAGTAACATTGAAATGCCTATTATAAGGTTTTGATAAAATCTAATTTTGAATGCATGCTTTATGTATACAGTTTAGCATAGTTATTGCTAATGAAGAACAAGTTCCCCCTTCACAATTCCCTATTGAGTTCTATTATATACCGGTGGTCAGTTCAGAGTTGATTACGAAGGGCGGGTCATTGTGAGCTGCGGCTGTTTGCTCACGCTTAGGTCAGTTGCCTGCCATATTCAGTGTTCAGTCTCAGCATCACCTGGATGTATTTCCCATCTTTTATCCACCCCATCTGCACTCACGGGACCCTCTTTACCATAGTGTCGAAAGTTCAGAATGTGTTGGTAACTGTAAAGCAATATGATATAATGTTTCAATGTCTGCCAGGACAGCGTTCATATGAGAAGGTCAACTATTGGGTAAAAGGTTGCTTTCATAAAACCAACAATTGAATTAACATAAGGAAGACGTTTGTAATACTCTTCAAATAAAATGTATTTCTTTTTTACTCCGGAGAAAATGGAATACGTGCGATCTATGGGGGACGAGACAGAGATGGGGTAGGATTGGAGGGAACTAAAAAAATATTTTGCCCCCTCGTTTTTCAACTAAAAATGCTCTAAAATTTCCTCGATTACCTTTTCTATACGAATAGGAACAATTACAAACTTTGTGATTCGTAGGTAAATAAGAGTGTGATTATGTATGGCTGTACACTACAGACGCAGCGCCACCTAGTGTCAAGCAAAGTGACTCATATGTTTTGATGGTAGAAAAAGACACTGTACAGCGAACTGTCCTTGACCTTACGACATCAGCGAATACAAATGTTCCTTTCTCTGACCGCCCAAAGCCTACAGGCGCATAATGATATGTATTGAAATTATTCAGAGCATAGCTGAAATGTATGTCTTTCATAGGTATAGCTCCTTTCAAAAAGCTTGAATATATTCACTTTAAAAGCGAAGAGATTTTAACAATTGGAGACATTGATTTAAAAAAAATATGCATCAGCAAATGTGCATGCATGCATGTATGCATGTATATCCCTGCAGAGCGATTGTCCCTGTAGTATGTGTGAGAGCTACAGTTAAGCAGTTTATGTCCCTCTCCCGATGTTAAGGGGATCGGGTGTGTGGGAGAAGTGACATGGGGTTTAACGTCGTGTACAATATGCTTCCCCTCTGTGGTGACGTGCATGCACATGCATGTGTAGCTGTTTGTACTTGCCCACGCTAATGCAGGTTTTGCAGTTCTACGCCAATGAGAGATCATGCCTCAGTTTAACACGAATGCCCCTTTCAGACAGAATAAACTGACCCAAGCGGACCAGTCCTTATTTATCTCGAAATGTACATCACAAGGCAGGATAACAAGTTCCACTTTTTAACTTACTTTCCTATAACGCGGCAGTTGATCTAGCCACTCACCTTCCGATCAGCAAACAGACGCTGTTTGCACTGGACAATTGAGGCGGTCGGGAATAGGGTGTTTCTTTGTGTGTCATTGTGCTCATGCTTTCGGTCATTGGTTTGCTTCATCCCGACTCGATTACTTAAAGAATGAGTTGCAGTTGTTACTATATAAATTCTACCACCCGAAAACTACCCCGGTTAGATATAGACGACCACAGAACATTATTCATTTATGGATTCGGTCATTCACTAAACGGAGGCGAAGCTGTTCCTGGCTCTAGAGAGGCAACAACGTTCCTCGCTATAGGGCGAGGGAATTACTGGATGTAGAGAGGCGAGGAGGTTCCTGGGTGTAGGGAGGAGATGATGTTCCTTGGTGTAGGGAGGAGATGATGTTCCTGGGTGTAGGGAGGAGATGATGTTCCTGGTCGTAGGGAGGAGATGATGTTCCTGGGTGTAGGGAGGAGATGATGTTCCTGGGTGTAGGGAGGAGATGATGTTCCTGGGGGAGGAGATGTAGGGAGGAGATGATGTTCCTGGGTGTGGAGGGAGGGTGATGAGTTCCTGGGTGTAGGGAGAGATGATGTTCTGGGTGTAGGAGGAGATGATGTTCCTGGGTGTAGGGAGGAGATGATGTTCCTGGGTGTAGGGAGGAGATGATGTTCCTGGATGGGTGTAGGGAGGGAGATGATGTTCCTGGGTGTAGGAGGGAGGAGATGATGTTCCTGGGTGTGATGTTCCCGGGGTGGGGAGTAGGGAGATGATGTTCCTGGGTGTAGGGAGGAGATGATGTTCCTGGGTGTAGGGAGGAGATGATGTTCCCTGGGTGTAGGGAGGAGATGATGTTCCTGGGTGTAGGGAGGAGATGATGTTCCTGGGTGTGGAGGAGAGGAGATGATGTTCCTGGGTGTAGGGAGGAGATGATGTTCCTGGGTGTAGGGAGGAGATGATGTTCCTGGGTGTAGGGAGGAGATGATGTTCCTGGGTGTAGGGAGGAGATGATGTTCCTGGGTGTAGGGAGGAGATGATGTTCCTGGGTGTAGGGAGGAGATGATGTTCCTGGGTGTAGGGAGGAGATGATGTTCCTGGGTGTAGGGAGGAGATGATGTTCCTGGGTGTAGGGAGGAGATGATGAGGAGATGATGTTCCTGGGTGTAGGGAGGAGATGATGTTCCTGGGTGTAGGGAGGAGATGATGTTCCTGGGTGTAGGGAGGAGATGATGTTCCTGGGTGTAGGGAGGATGATGATGTGTCCTGGGTGTAGGGAGGAGATGATGTTCCTGGGTGTAGGGAGGAGATGATGTTCCTGGGTGTAGGGAGGAGATGATGTTCCTTTGTGTAGGGAGGAGATGTAGGGAGGAGATGATGTTCCTGGGTGTAGGGAGGAGAGATGATGTTCCTGGGTGTAGGGAGGAGATGATGTTCTCTGGGTGTAGGGAGGAGATGATGTTCCTGGGTGTAGGGAGGAGATGATGTTCCTGGGTGTGGGGGAGGAGATGATGTAGGGAGGGGAGATGATGTTCCTGGATGTGTTCCTGGGGGAGGAGATGATGTTCCTGGGTGTAGGGAGGAGATGATGGGGTGTAGGGGAGTGATTCCTGGGTGTAGGAGGAGATGATGTTCCTGTGTGTAGGGGAGGAGATGATGTTCCTGGGTGTGTAGGGAGGGAGGGAGATGATGTTCCCTGGATGTGTAGGGAGGAGATGGTTCCTGGAGTAGGGAGGAGATGATGTTCCTGGAAGTAGATCCTGGATGTAGGGAGGAGATGATGTTCCTGGATGTAGGGAGGGGGAGGAGATGATGTTCCTGGGTGTAGGGAGTGTAGGGTAGGAGGAGATGATGTTCCTGGATGTAGGGAGAAGATGATGTTCCCGGGATGTTCCTGGAAGTAGGGAGGAGATGATGTTCCTGGATGTAGGGAGAAGATGATGTTCCTGGATGTAGGGAGAAGATGAGTTCCCGGGTGTGGGGAGGAGATGATGTTCCTGGATGTAGGGAGGATGATGTTCCCTGTGTGTAGGGAGGAGATGATGTTCCTGGGTGTGTAGGGAGGGGAGATGATGTTCCCGGGAGGAGAAGATGGGAGGGAGATGATGTAGGGAGGAGAAGATGATTCCTGGGTGGGAGGAGATGAGGGAGGAGATGATGTTCCTGGGTGTAGGGAGGAGATGATGTTCCCGGGTGAAGGGAGGAGATGTGCCTAGGTGTAGGGAGGAGATGAAGTTCCTGGGTGTAGGGAGGAGATGATGTTCCCGGGTGAAGGGAGGAGATGATGTTCCTGGGTGTAGGGAGGAGATGAAGTTCCTAGGTGGAGAGAGGCAATGGCGTTCCTTGGGTGACGGCGTTCCTGAGTGAAGAGAGGAGAGGGCGTTCCTGCATGGGAGTTGAGAGACAAGGGCGTCCCTGGGTGTAGAGAGGGTGTATACACTGCTCTGAGTGCAGCTCAATGTCACGTCGTTGTATTTGCTCTCCTATATCTGCCTTGTCAGCAGTAGAGGGTGTGTCGCAGGCCATCTCTATCTGACTTACTTGAAATAAACTGGTTTCAATTATATTAAGTGGCCTTTGCGTTTGTAGTTGTCATTGACATTGCATATAGTACTTCGCTGGAAAAAACTATCTGTGTAGAGTATGTGTGCATTCGTACGTGTATGTCTTGGATTATGGGTATAGGATCACTCGAACACCTTTCGGTGTAAGCACGCCATATTGCACTCGAGCAAGTATGCATTTCTACATGAGGGTTAGTTAACCCTTGTGGTTTGAACATCAAAACTATGTTTCGCTGGGTTCCCCAATACGTACACTGAGTAATTCAAAACCTGCATAATGTAAACAATCTTGATTTAAACTGAATTACTCACAAAACACCCGAGCACGGCTTAGCAAGTACAGAACAAACATCTCTATAAAGGAGAAAAACATAAAAACTTTACACAAGCTAACAAAACAAGGACCTACTTAAATCTTGCATTTACCCTAAAAGCAAACAGGTATTAGGAAACTTCTATTTAACCGGAGAGCTTGAAGACTTGTATTGTGAATTTGTTTAAAAGCACCGAGCATAATCACATTGAGGAAACAGAACAAGTGCATCCGAAAGGGAGTTTCTTTGTATGTTACTTTTATATATATATAGAAACGACAAAACCCTTTCCATATCCATAAGACATGTCTGCTAGAAACAGAGCCGATTGTACAAGTCTGACTATGTCCTGAGTATGCGTTTGTTTGACGTCGAATTCAGCAGTATTACAGCGGTACAGCAGGCAGACAGTCAGACACTTTATTCGGTAATATACGGCCTTATGGCCCATTTAACAGTTAAAATATATAATGTATTTATAGTGTCACGTAAGTACAAATGGAAGTAATTATCCAGCAATAAATATAGGTTTTAACAATGCTGCAACCGCATGTATAAGAGGATTTTGAGAGTTTGATAAATTTACCATTAACATAATATGTGGGAGATTCTCTCTCATATCTTTATATTTATCACAAACTATTGATACATGAAATTCATCTTCAATAAAGTCTAAACCTGGCTAAGAATGAAAAGAGGATAAGGCCCTGTATCGGATAAAAAACAATGGCCTTATTAGAAGTAAACTTCCCAACCCGTAAAAGGCGTTTAAAAATAAGATGATTGGACTTTCTTCCATTACCTTTACACCAATGTTAAACCATTATATATAGTGTCACATGTCTCTGCCCCATATAAACTTCCCAGCCCGTAAAGGGCGTTTAAAAATCGGGACTGCAACTTCATACTATCAAAAATAGAACATGCTGTAGAAAAATAGAACATGCTGTAGAAAATGGAACATTTACAAGTTTTTCGAAAAGTGTCTATACTGGAATAACAGCTTTAGAGGCTTGACATGCTAATTGTTTACAATATACTCACCATGATAATCTAGAAGATATAACTTATCCTAAATACTTATGATATGTCTTAATTTCTAAAGGAACATTGTCATATGCCCAGTGTTCATGCTTAGCAATTTTACCTCCATTCTGAATACAAGTATATTTGTGTTTTGTGATTCGACTTCTTAACCCATTTCTTGCAAAAGGAAGACAGTACATTTAATTGTTTCTACAGGCTATTAACAGCGAATGAAAACATGACAACATCATCAGCAAACAGAAGTAACATTAAATCAACAATGTGCTGTGTCAACAACGTAATCAAAAGCTTTTTTAAAATCGATAAACTCACAATATAATCTACCTTTTGGCTCACGTTAATATTTTCAACACAATGCTTGCAATATGAATAGATTATCAACTGTTGAGTAATTTTGGCGGAAACCAGCTTGAAATTCTGATGAAAGATCATTTACATCAAACCAAATTCTAAGGCCCTTTTCTATAACAATAGTGAACAAATTACCTGTAGCATTCAGAATAGAAATACCTCTATAATTGTTAGGGTCAGAACGTTTGCCCTACTTAAACATAGGCAAAATCTACCTATATTCCATAATTTGGAAAATCGCCAGTATTTAAGATTCTGTTAAAACAAGTTTCCCGACATCTTGAAAAATCAGAGGGTACTCCATCCTCACCTGCAGATTTACCACTTTTAAACCTTTCAGAGCATCGACTATTTCTCCATCATTTGTTTCACTTGACAAAAGATCATCCGTGAAAACAAATCATTACAATCCTCACAAGAATGTGAATTAATATACTGGGAAATGAAACAACCAAAATCGTTTACTAGTATATCAACATTTTCAGGTTTCGGATTCAACAAATTATTGAAATAATCGTACCAAATATCCGGAGACATCGAATAACTTCAAACAGTTCCACGTGTAACTTTCTTTAACGTCTTTCAAAACTTTTACAATCTCCATGTTCAGCAGACCTCTTTATATCATCACATATTTTGGTATTATAAGAACGCTTCTTTTCACAACATCTTTTATATTCAGTTTTGGCATCCGCATACAACTTTAAGTTTAAATCTCGTTTCAATTTTCTTAATTTGTTCAATAGAAAATATTTACTCGTTTTTAATTGACTAAAATCCTTATTAAACCAAGGTGGTTGCTGTGAATGAGATTTCTGCGTGACTGTATCATAGGGACCCGTGAAGGTCCGGGTTAGAATTGATCTTCAGTAACCCATGCTTGTCGTAAGAGGCTACTAACGGGATCGGGTGGTCAGACTCACTGACGTGGTTGACACGAGTCATCGTATCCCAACTGCGCAGATCGATATTCATGCTGTTGATCTCTGGATTGTCTTTTCGAGATTTTATTATTTACAGACCACCGCCATATAGCAGGAATATTGCTGAGTGCGGCGTAAAACTAAACTCGCCTCTATTCATCTAGACCCAAACCTCCACGAGCGGCTTGCTTTCATATTTCTTTAAAAGCCTCTATTCGAGCGGCTTTTTCATATTAATTCTCTAGTAAACCTAGCCTCTATTCTATTCATGTAGATCCACGAGGGGCGTGGTTTTATGTTCTTGTATCAGCCTGTGTAGACCCAAAGCTCCATGAGGTTTGGGGCCTTGAAATATGCCGTATTGTTGCATGAACCTTTACCTAATCTAAAATAAAGTTAAACAGTAAATCATGGCTTCCCACAGAAAAGCTATGCATGATGTACAAAGACATGGCTTGGGAAGCTGGCTGGTCCACGGATGATAAGATAAATGTGCGATAAGAACAAGGCTGCAACATATAAGGCCAAGAGTCATCAGAAGGGGCAATTATTGATTGATTCGGGGAAAATTGTAAAGATTCTGGCGGATGAGCTCTGGAAATTGTGTTGTAGTCTGCTTGGCACAGCGCCAATAGCTGAACAGGCCAGCGAAACACTGCAAACGTTAGACTCAGAACTTAACTATGACACCCGTATGAAATGCATCAAACCTGAAAAAAACTTTCTTGTCTGTTAAATTTTTGCCACCATTAACCATAGATCGAAAACTAATATTATATTCTGTCTCCAGCGCTAATTCTTCCCGTTTCTTAGATTTCTGATGCATGATCTCTGTTTTCAGACCCAAGATGAGTGGATGTGTGTGCGATCCCCTTCACAAGATCCCTGTGGAGATTGCCAAAGAGATGTTTCACCTTGCATTGGAGGCTTCCTGGCACGCCGCCAATACTCTAGCGAATAAGAAAGGCGAAGCTCAGGAAAGCCTCGAGAAAGCCAACGGCCATTACAAGAATTTCATGGAGTTCGGGCTTCCCACAGAAAAGGTATGCCTGATGTTCAAGGACATGGCTTTCGCAGCCGCCTGGTCTACGTCCAACGAGCGGATGGGTGAAGAGTCCGAGGCTGCAAGCAATAAGGCCAAAAGTCTGCAGAAGAGTCAAGAAATGGTAGACTCAGGGGAAATCGAAAAGAGTCTGGCGGATAATCTCTGGAACATGTGCTGGTACTCTGCTTGGCATACAGCCAATACCAGGAAGTGCATGGGTTTCTTCTACAGAGACGATGCTGCAGAAGATATGAAAAAGGCAAACTCGTTCTTTGAAGCCATTGAAGGAGACTGCCGTCTAGTGGCTATTGATTTCATCCAAGACAGATGCACCTTGATCAATCCCGTGAAACCCAAGTACTTTGCTGAACAAAAGCTGGAAAATAAAAGTGATCTCGCGCAAGAGATGTCCTGTTCGTTCAAGCACTGGAACACAAGCACGAAATCCTTCAGCGTAAGCGTCAAGTGGAAGTTCACGGTGGCTGGCGCTATAGCGGGTCTTTACTTTGTGGCTGGCGGCATAGCGGCTTCTCTGTCGTATAGCAAGGAGACAACTGAAGGAAGCAGTATCACAGACGGAGAGGAAAAAAAATACAACTTCGAAGTAAAAGTGGGTCCAAGGAGCATGGTTACCGCAAAGGCTATTGTCCAAGAGGCTACAGCCGAAGTTCCATACTTCATGATTTTTGACATCGGGGGCAAACGCTACTGCAAAGAAGGATTGTGGAGCGGAATAGTTGCTGGGAGAGTGGAGTATGAGATTGGAGAGAGCATCCCATTGGATTAATAATCCATGTAGATTCTACATTTACAATTAGACAACTGATGACGTCATCAATTGATTTAGCATCAATGTATCCTTAGTGACATTAGTTGGAGTGGACAGTGTAACTGTCTGATAAAAAAACAGCAGCAGTTTTTCCTTGATTTCGAGATACTCACTGTGTGGACTATGTGCTTGCTTTCATGTTTGGTGAGCCTTCAATCATTTCGACTGAATAGTGGGTATCGAGGATTATTTTGAGTTTAGTTATATTTTGTATATTACTATTTCAACAAGTGAATTTTCCTTCACCTACAAAAGTGCATTAGTTCATCCACAGGAAAATGCATTACTTCATTTCTTTTGGTACACATAAATAAACCGAAACAATAGAAGTCCAAGCCAAATTATATTTGTCTCCATCATCTAACATTTAACACCACCATTACCCATGTCCAGTATACGACTCTAAATGTCTCGATTAGAATTTTGCCAACTCATTTCAGAGAACATTTCATGGTCAAATAACAAATAATATCGTGCCATGGAAGGGTTGCACTACATCAATACTTCAATAAATAGTTTCTCCACTTTAATGAAAATGCCCACTTATAAAGAAGTGCATAGAATATATGACAATGTTTGGTTCCTGGCAATAGGTTTTGCTTTCCGTTTCATAAAGATCAAAGTATAAGTATTTTGTTGTTACCAAGCATACTATTTTACCTTGTTTTGAGTTCTAGTTGTTCATCTATATCAATATTGCAAAATAAAATATTTTATTACCTGTTAAATGGAATTGTTTTCTCGTATGTCACAGAGAAACGAGTCACCTTACGGATGAGTACTTTGTGTAACAGGTCAGGTTCAGGACATTGTATGAATTAATGTTCAACAGAGTGTATTATTCAACATGTAAGGCAGAGCAACATTCAACGTGTAAGACAGGGAACATTCAACGTGTAAGGCAGAGCAACATTCAACGTGTAAGACAGGGAACATTCAACATGTAAGGCAGAGCAACATTCAACGTGTAAGACAGGGAACATTCAACGTGTAAGGCAGAGCAACATTCAACGTGTAAGACAGGGAACATTCAACGTGTAAGGCAGAGCAACATTCAACGTGTAAGGCAGAGCAACATTCAACATGTAAGACAGGGAACATTCAACGTGTAAGACAGGAAGACAGGGAGCATTCAACATTTAAGGCAGGGAACATTCAACGTGTAAGACAGGGAACATTCAACATGTAAGGCAGAGCAACATTCAACATGTAAGGCAGAGCAACATTCAACATGTAAGGCAGAGCAACATTCAACGTGTAAGACAGGGAACATTCAACATGTAAGGCAGAGCAACATTCAACATGTAAGGCAGAGCAACATTCAACGTATAAGACAGGGAACATTCAACATGTAAGGCTGGGAACATTCAACGTGTAAGGCGGAGCAACATTCAACGTGTAAGGCAGAGCAACATTCAACGTGTAAGACAGGGAACATTCAACGTGTAAGACAGGGAACATTCAACGTGTAAGGCAGGAAACATTCAACATGTAAGACAGGGAACATTCAACATGTAAGGCAGGGAACATTCAACATGTAAGACAGGGAACATTCAACGTGTAAGACAGGGAACATTCAACATGTAAGGCAGGGAACATTCAACGTGTAAGACAGGGAACATTCAACATGTAAGGCAGAGCAACATTCAACATGTAAGGCAGAGCAACATTCAACATGTAAGGCAGAGCAACATTCAACATGTAAGGCAGAGCAACATTCAACGTATAAGACAGGGAACATTTTACGTAGCTAACGGTACAGAGTATTATGCAACACGAATATTATTCCGTCAAACAGTCACTGAATAACTTTGTTCTGTAATACCAAATCCAGAAATGAAGCAAGTCTAGTTTCTCCTTTTCCTCATTTGAATATCCGTTTATTCCCCAAGGGTAACCGTTTCGATTAAAAGTTAGTAATTTGTTTCTAGCAAGATTATATATTTCACAGACTAAGGGTTAGTGTAGGTAAAGAGTATTATATGATATATGATATACATGCAGCTTGTAGGGTAAAATGATTATACATATTGAGTTAAACAATATTTATACAGGTAGACGGCAATATAAACATGTAAGGTAGAAATCCCTATCCAACATAAAGGTAGAGAACAAAAAGTAAGATTCAGAGCATTTTTCAACATGTAATAAGGGAGAGTAGAACACAGCATATCAGCGAGAGAGCATTTTCCAACATGTAATAAGGGAGAGTAGAACACAGCATACCAGTGAGAGAGCATTTTGCAACAAACAATAAGGAGAGTAGAACACAAAACTGCAGCTGGAGAGCACTACGAAAAATGGACAGTAGAGCAAAAAATGTCAGGTAAAGAGCATCATCCAAAATATAACAAGGAGAGTAGAAAACAAAATGTAAGATTCAGAGCTTTTTCGAACATGTAATAAGTGAGTAGAATACAACATGTCACATGGAGAGCATTATCCATCATGTAATAAGGACAATATAACACAACATGTCAGGTAGAGAGCATTATGCAACATGTAATAAGGAGAGTCGAACACAACATGTCAGGTAGAGAGCATTATGCAACATGTAATAAGGGGAGTAGAACACACACAACATCTCACATGGAGAGTATTATCCAACATGTAATATAGAGAGTATAACACAACATGTCAGGTAGAGAGCATTATCCATCATGTAATATAGAGAGTATAACACAACATGTCAGGTAGAGAGCATTATGCAACATGTAATAAGGAGAGTAGAACACACACAGCATGTCACATGGAGAGCATTATGCAGCATGTAATATAGAGAGTATAACACAACATGTCAGGTAGAGAGCATTATCCATCATGTAATATAGAGAGTATAACACAACATGTCAGGTAGAGAGCATTATACAACATGTAATAAGGAGAGTAGAACACACACAACATGTCACACGGAGAGCATTATGAAGCATGTAATATAGAGAGTATAACACAACATGTCAGGTAGAGAGCATTATACAACATGTAATAAGGAGAGTAGAACACACACAACATCTCACATGGAGAGCATTATCCAACATGTAATATAGAGAGTATAACACAACATGTGACATGGAGAGCATTATCCACCATGTAGTTTCGAGAGTATAACACAACATGTCAGGTAGAGAGCATTATACAACATGTAATAAGGAGAGTAGAACACACACAACATGTCACATGTAGAGCATTAGGCAGCATGTAATATAGAGAGTATAACGCAACATGTCAGGTAGAGAGCATTATGCAACATGTAATAAGGAGAGTCGAACACACACAACATGTCAGGTAGAGAGCATCATGCAGCATGTAATATAGAGAGTATAACACAACATGTCAGGTAGAGAGCATTATACAACATGTAATAAGGAGAGTAGAACACACACAACATGTGACATGGAGAGCATTTTCCATCATGTAATAAGGAGAGTATAACACAACATGTCAGGTAGAGAGCATTATACAACATGTAATAAGGAGAGTAGAACACACACAACATCTCACATGGAGAGCATTATCCAACATGTAATATAGAGAGTATAACACAACATGTGACATGGAGAGCATTATCCACCATGTAGTTTCGAGAGTATAACACAACATGTCAGGTAGAGAGCATTATACAACATGTAATAAGGAGAGTAGAACACACACAACATGTCACATGTAGAGCATTAGGCAGCATGTAATATAGAGAGTATAACGCAACATGTCAGGTAGAGAGCATTATGCAACATGTAATAAGGAGAGTCGAACACACACAACATGTCAGGTAGAGAGCATCATGCAGCATGTAATATAGAGAGTATAACACAACATGTCAGGTAGAGAGCATTATACAACATGTAATAAGGAGAGTAGAACACACACAACATGTGACATGGAGAGCATTTTCCATCATGTAATAAGGAGAGTATAACACAACATGTCAGGTAGAGAGCATTATACATAATGTATTAAGGAGAGTAGAACACACACAACATGTCACATGGAGAGCATTATGCAGCATGTAATATAGAGTGTAACACAACATGTCAGGTAGAGAGCATTTTCCAACATGTATTAAGGAGAGTAGAACACAACATATCAGCGAGAGAGCATTTTGCAACAAACAATAAGGAGGGTAGAACACAAAACTGCAGCTGGAGAGCACTACGAAAAATGTTACAAGGACAGTAGAGCAAAAAATGTCAGGTACAGAGCATCATCCAAAATATAATAAGGAGAGTAGAAAACAAAATGTAAGATTCAGAGCTTTTTCGAACATGTAATAAGTGAGTAGAATACAACATGTCACATGGAGAGCATTATCCATCATGTAACAAGGACAATATAACACAACATGTCAGGTAGAGAGCATTATCCAACATTATAATAAGGAGAGTCGAACACAATATGTCACATGGAGAGCATTATGCATCATGTAATAAGGAGAATATAACACGATATGTCAGGTAAAGAGCATTATACAACATGTAATAAGGAGAGTAGAACACACACAACATGTCACATGGAGAGCATTATGCAGCATGTAATAAGGAGAGTATAACACAACATGTCAGGTAGAGAGCATTATACAACATGTAATAAGGAGAGTAGAACACACACAACATGTCACATGGAGAGCATTATGAAGCATGTAATAAGGAGAGTAGAACACACACAACATGTGACAGGGAGAGCATCATGCAGCATGTAATATAGAGAGTATAACACAACATGTCAGGTAGAGAGCATTATACAACATGTAATAAGGAGAGTAGAACACACATAACATGTGACATGGAGAGCATTTTGCAGCATGTAATAAGGAGAGTAGAACACCCACAACATGTGACATGGAGATCATTATCCATCATGTAATAAGGAGAGTATTACACAACATATCAACTGGAGAGCATTAGCCATTATGTAACAAGGAGAGTAGAACACAACATGTCAGATGGAGAGCAGTTCAGAGTATGCAGGGTAGATATGTCATTTAGAGACTATTAACCACATATGGGTGCCATCGCATTTGTTTGCGTCTTGTGGAATTTATGAAGGCAAATGGATATATCTGATTAACAAAATGCCTCCAAAAATAGAGTATGATAAGCTACTTGGAGAATGTTACGTGTAGAATAACCTAAACCGGGTACTTATGTCTGGTGGGCCACGGTGTGCTTGGTCTAGACTCCATCATTAGCAGGCTTGTACCAGGAATATTGATAATTTTCAAAATATTTTTGCTGACGTAAACATATACCGTGGCAGTGAGCGCAATCTCAACTGCTCACTGATTGCTCGAGCAAAAATATAGGCATTCAAAACCCCTTAAAAGAACACCCTAACGTTTCACCAGAGATGCGTGTCATCTTCAGGACATACAGAAATGTAGGAGGGTGTTTTGTACATATCCAGTCGAGCGGAAAGGCAATAAGAAATGCCTTTATCTAGGTGGTTTTCCTTCATGATAGGCTGACAGCTAGACAATAAAGCCGACTCAACTGCCATGTGTGATTTGCATTTTCTTGTACCGACCTATCATGTGATTACTACTGGTGACTGAGTTCCAGTGTTGTCATTATCTACACTCCATGAAGTTCGGCAATGTTGTATTATTGTTTAATACTGGGCTTTGAGGAAAAGGGTGGAGATTGATTGGGTTCAGCTCCCTTCTGAACAATAATTTTCTGAAAGCTCAAACTCAGCATATTTTGGTTAGATAAACAGATCTTAGGGCCTGTTC